TAATCAAAGTGATTCACTTGTGTGATTCATTCCAAATTCCTAATCCTATATCTTAAGAGTGGTTCTCTTGAGTGTGAGTTTTAGGTTCTAGTTATTTAAGTAAGTGTGTAATATCTTATTTAAATGCTAGATTCAACCCCAAGTTAAGATAAGGGTGTGTAATATCCCTTAACACCAATTTGGTTTGTTTTTCTTTTCAAAGAAGTACCTTGTTCCTGTCTCGAGCTGTCAAATAATCGATTATCCCCATTGGAAATCGATTATCTATCCTTCGTGAAACACCTGCAGCACTCAATAGTCGATTATCAGTCTCCAATAATCGATTATCAGCCTTTCCCAAAAAAAAACCTGCCATCCTCAATAATCGATTGACACCTCCTGTAAATCGATTATCTCCCCTCCCAGAAAATCCCCAGAAAATTGCCCCCAGAAACTGAAGCCCCTGATAATCGATTATCCACTTTGGACAATCGATTATTTCTTCCCTGTTCTTAACAAGATAGTTCCTTTAAAAACCTGAGCTTGGGTATAACAACACATCTCTTGATGAAGTGCTCGACGTCTCTCTCCATTTTCGGCCAGAAGTAATGCTCTTTCGTCATCAAATAAGTCTTGTTAATTCCGAAATGACCGGCTAGCCCACCACTATGGATCTCGTCTATCAGGGTTTCACAAACGCTGCTCCTCGGAATGCACAGTTGATTACCATGAAAGAGGTAACCATCTTTGATTAGGTAATCTCCATGGGGCTGAGAAAAGCATTGGGCATACATCTCCATGAAATCTTCATCATCCTTGTAGAGTTCCTACAAAAATTCAAAGCCAAGAAGTTTGGTACTAAGTACCGTTAGTAATAAGTGTCTCCGGGACAACGCATCCGCGCCTTTGTTCATGGATCTGTTCTTGTGCCTGATGGTGAATGTAAAGGTTTAAATGTATTCAACCCATTTGGCATGACAGGGTCGAAGCTTGTGTTACCCTTGAATGTATTTCAACGCCTCATGATCGGAGTGAAGGATGAATTCCTTACTCACGAGATAGTGTCGCTAATGCTCAAGGGACCGTACTAACGCATAGAATTCTTTGTCGTTGGTAGAATAGCGTCTCCGTGTGTCATTGAGCTTCTCGCTAAAGTAGGACACCAGATGTCCCTCTTGAGTAAGGAAAGCTCCGATGCCAACTCCCGATGCATCACACTCTACCTCGAACAACTTCTCGAAACTGGGAAGGGCCAATACGGGGGCATGCATCAAGCAATCCTTGATTATTTCGAAGGCTTGTTGGGCCCTCGAGTTCCACTCAAACTTCGGGTTCTTTGTCAAGTCCGTGAGAGGTGCAGTTATGGTACTAAAGTCCTTCACAAATCGCCGATAGAAAGATGCAAGGCCATGAAAACTTCTAACTTGTTGCATTGTTGTGGGAACGGGCCAATCTCGTATGGCTTGTGTTTTCTTCTCATCCACCTTGATTCCTTCACTTGAGATAAAGTATCCCAAGAACTCTGTTTCTTGAGAAAAGAATTGACTCTTCTCAAGGTTTCCATATAACTTCTCTTCTTCTAGTTTCTTAACCACCAAAGTGAGGTGATTAGCATGATCTTCCACGTTCCGGCTGTAGATCAAAATGTTGTCAAAGTATACTACGACAAAGTGACCTATAAATGGCTTCAACACTTGATTCATTAGCCTCATGAATGTGCTTGGTGCATTGGTTAATCCAAATGGCATAACTAGCCACTCGTATAACCCGAACTTCGTTTTGAATGCTGTTTTCCATTCATCTCCCTCAAAGATTCGAATTTGATGATAACCACTTCGGAGGTCAATCTTTGAGAAGATATTGGATCCATGAAGCTCATCCAACATGTCCTCAAGCCTAGGTATGGGGTACCTATACTTGATGGTAATCTTGTTAAGGGCTCGGCTTTCACAACACATGCGCCAAGTACCATTTTTCTTTGGTACCAAAAGATCCGGAACAGCACAGGGGCTCAAGCTTTCTCTCACGAATCCTTTGGCTAATAACTCATCAACTTGTCGTTGGATTTCCTTGGTTTCCCCGAGATTCATTCGGTATGCAGGCTTGTTGGGTAGGGCAGCTCCTGGGATGAGATCAATCTTGTGTTGAATGTCTCGTTTTGGTGGTAGGCCGTGAGGCACATCTTCGGGAAAGACATGGGAGAATTGTTCAACAATGGGCTTGGCTAACGGGTGAAGTGGGGATGGGGTTGTAGTGGAATCGGGTGCTTCGTTTTCAAAGAGAATCAGTTCTTTTTGGGGCTCATACTCATGGTGTTCGGCTTGCAATATAGTGGAAATGAGGACAGGGGTTTCTTCTTCGGATGGGGGGAAGCCGTGGGGTTAGAGGGGGGCAAGGATGTGAGGGTAACCTTCTTCTTGTTGATGAGGAATGAATATGTGTTGGCATATCCATCATGGAACACCTTCCGATCAAATAACCAGGGCCGTCCCAACAGAATATGGCAGGCATCCATTGGAATGATATCGCACCATATCTCGTCGGAATAACTTCGTCCAATGCTTAATGATACCAAACTGCGGGAATCCACACGTAACTCCTTGCCATGGTTCAACCATTGAATCGTGTATGGCTTCAGGTGTGGTGAGGTCTTCATCTTCAGCTTATCTACCAACGTTTTTGAAGCTACGTTGGTACAACTTCTGCTATCCTTGATCAAAGTACACACCTTTTTTAGATAGTACAATGGGTATGGAAGATGTTTTCTCGTTATAGTTGATCATCGGGACTAGCTATGCTATTCATGGTCCTTCGGATGACCAAGAGTTCGCCTTCGTCGGCTCCAACACACTCTTTATCTTCAAGATCTTCTTCAGCCCATGAGGGACTGATTTCCTCTTCTTCGCATTCAACAATGGCCATTATCTTCTTGTTAGGACATTCATTGGCAAACTGTCCTATGCCTTGGCAACAAAAGCATTTGGGGGTTCGGGTGTTTGTTTGTTCTGTTTTGAATGGGGGTGGGTTGGAAGAGGTGGACGGAGTGGAGTTGGTTTTTGAATGGGTGTTTTGGGTAGGAGTGTTGGGGGTTTGGAAAAGGGGGAGGTTCGAATAAATGAGGTTTTGTTCTTCTTAAGTTGGGATTCAACTTTGAGGGCCAACTTCGAGAGTTCTTCAAAAGTATCATAAGGTTGTAGGTCCACTACATTAGCTATTTGAGTGTTTAGTCCAAATAGATAACGTACCAATGTTTGTGAGTCGTTTTCCTGCAGGTCACACCTCATTAAGAGTTCTTCAAACTCCCGAGTATAGTCTTCAACTGAGCGAGGACCTTGCCTTAGGTGTTGAAGCTGGGAAAAGTTCTCAACAAGCTCCTCATTTTGAGCCAAGTCTTCACAGGGGGCTTACTTTCTCGCCTTCTTTTGGTGGAGAGGTTGGACCACCAAGTGGAGGCATACTTCCGGAACTTCAACGCCACGATCTTGACCTTCTTGTCTTCGGGCACATCTTTGAAGTCAAAGACGCGCTCAACAGTTTCTAGCCACTCTAGAAAGTCATCTGGATCGTTCTTCCCTTCAAAGGTTGGTATGTCAACCTTGAAATCGGTTGTTCCTCGTTCGTGACTCTCTTCTCTAGTAGTTTTACTAGAGTTAGCTTCAGGGTGAGCTTCTTCGTCTTCATCACTTTCCTCCGGAGTGTTCACCATGCTCATCTTGAGCTTAGTGAGTTGGGCAACTTGTTTGGCCAAGTACTCCACTTGGGCCTTGAGAGCAGTATTGGAGGCTAGGAGTTCTTCGTTGGAGAGGTTGTTGGAATTGTTTGACATGATGATAGTAAGGAAATGGAAAGGGAAAGGGTTGGAATGGAAAGAAAAGAGGAAGTGTGTTGTATGGCCTCAAAGGGATGCTCAACAACAAGCTCTGATACCAAATGTTATATCTAAGCTCAGGGTTTTATTGGTAATGACCTGGACTTTAAAGAATAAAGCTCCTTTATTTGCAGGGAAGGAAGATAATTGATTGTCCTAAGTGGATAATCGATTGTCAAGGGGTTCAGGTTCTGGGGCAAACTTTCCAAGAATCTTCAGGGAGGGGTGATAATTGAATGACAGGGAATGTCAGTCGACTATTGAAGGCTGCAGGTTTTTGGGGAAGGCTGATAATCGATTGTTGTAGAATGATAATCGATTATTGAAGGCTGCAGGGGTTTTACGAAGGATGGATACTCGACTGTCAGTAGTGATAATCGATTGTTTGGCAGCTCGGGAAAGGAAAAGAAGTATTTTTTTGGGAAGGGGAACAATCCAAGTTGGTGTTAAGAGATATCACACACCCTTATCTTAACTTGGGGTTGAGTCTAGCATTCAAATAGGATATTGCACACTTATTTGAATAACTAGAACCTAAAACTCACACTCAAGAGAACCACTCTTAAGATATAGAATTAGGAATTTAGAATGAAACACACAAGTGAATCACTTTGATTTAAAATGGAATACAATGTCCTCCTACACCCAGGCCAATGGCTAAATATATAGAATTACATTTGAGGGGAAGGGGAAAAATACTACTCACTTAAAATAATGCCCATGTGCTCATGTTTCTTGAGTGGAATGAAATCAGGTAATGGGCTGCTTGGTGGGGTTTTCGGCTGTTCCTGATTGCTGGAAATGTTGAGGGAAGGAGGGGTGAATGTGGGGAGGGCTGAGGTTGAGGGCCAAGAAGTGGGGGTAAGATAATGTGGTACATTTGGCAGGGTATTTGTGGTGTTTATGGGGAATTTGAATTTGTTTGGATAATGTGGTACATTTGGCTGGGATTTTGAAATGTTGGGATTGGTTCTTAAGGTGGTGATGGGTTCAGGGTAAGTATGGTTAGGGTGTATGGTTCGACATCATAACACTTGGACATTATTCCATTGATTTGTTTAAGGTCTTGAGGACGACTTGTGGTACTCGGGGATATATCATGATTCATCTCAAAATATTTGTAGTAATTGCTGGAAACTGTGTGCTCTACACTGTATGTAGGTCCGTAGACCCATCGTGTTGCTGTGTATCTAGGTATAAAACGTCTAACGAGACCACCATTGGTAAAGACTATTGAAGCAACAGCTACTTGAAGGCCAACATTGCCTCCTCCATAAGTAAGTCTAATCTTTCGTCTTATCAATTCCCTTCCTAAATCTACCGCCGTAGCCATAAACTTTGAATTCCGACCAAGAGCATGACTACCAAGAAGACCAATTGATTTTATGGTTTAAGAAAGTGTTCAAAAAGTTCCTTCCATAATGTGAGAATGTGAAATGCTCTTGCCACAATCGTGATAAATATAGACTCTGAAAACTTGCCATTGACGGAAAGAAATTATCACCAGCCAAAATACGTACAAAAAGTGGATTTGCTTCAATTACGTACAGAAAAAAGTGTACTCGCCAATACTGTAGTATGCTGACGATATGATATGTTGATACTCATGAAAACTTAGATTTGTTGTCCTGAAATACGTTCAAATCCAAGATGAAAAGTCAAAATGGCTTTGCCCTAAAACAACGACCCCTTGAGTAACTTTCAAAGAGTTAAACATTGAAGGATGAAAAGCTATGATTAGTGATGATGCTACAATCATATCTTGTGACTCGTATTCTTAAAATAATCAAATTTGCTGTGTTAATTGCACACTTGAAACATCCTACTTAACCAATCTTGAAAAGATTGAATTCCATTGTTGTATCAAAATACTAAACCATTGAGAACATGTCTAGATACGTTATACCGATCATTGAAAACTGCACTCTAAGAACTACGTGACTCGATCACAATGGTAAAAGTACTCTAACTCGAATATTATGTTGAACCTCTCTTTGTGAACCACAAAACGATTGATGCGATTACATTATCTCTAAAGATTATTATCGATGATCTCATTGACCAAACAAACTCCGTTATGACCCTAGCAAGAAAATGTATGTGCGACAACCAGAGAAGAAATGACGTCACAAGGATCAAGCCGAATCATTCAAGCAAAAATCCCGAACCTATATGCGATGTTGGTGTAAGAACTCGTAAGATTTCTTACTCTATGAATTCGTGAATTTAATCACATACTGAAGGTATTCTCTTCTTCCCTCAAAACGAGATTAACCATAGTGTTACAATCAAACCTGTCACTATTATGAACATATCTTGATATATCCGAAATCGATGAAAGAAAGTTGAACATGACATAACGTATATGGGACGCCACTGGAATGTCATCATTACCTATGAATACAAATTAATACAAAGGCTCATTAACGATAATGAGAGCTACCATGAAGTGAACGAAGAAATATTTCAACGTAAGATCGATGATGACAAGCTATTGTACAATCAATCGACAGTACTTCCTCGTAAATGATGACCAATCCTATGTTCTTAAAATCTTGAACCAAGGAGAGCCATTTGATGTTACTTATGAGTCATTGCTGAACTATGTGAACAATGTGAAGATGTCTTGAGTTACTTGAAAGGTAACGCTACGATGTATGGGTTGAAACAAACTCTAAATCCCAAACTATACCTATTGTGAAGTTGATGATTTGAAACTGCAAATGCTATTGAAAGTCCTTCAATAAAAGGAAGAGTATCATTAATCGACGTTGTAGAATTGAGAATTGTGAATGAATGAGGATATGTATAAGTATGTCAAATATGCCTCTAAATACAATGTTATACTCTACAAAGGAACCTTAGTTATTGATGATTAACTCCAAATGGAAATATGCAAAAGGATCATTGGATATCTTTGTTAATCTTTCAAAGATAGAACAAGTTTGATGACAGCAATGGTCTGAGAATACATGTCTGTGTAGATAATGACGTATTTGTGGTTTAACCAAATGAACATGACACGGTCCTGATTAAGTGAGATCACTACAAAATGTTGAACGTCGAGCCTTAGAAGAATTTCGAGGACAAAATTCCTTTAAGAGGGGGGGGGGGGAAGAAATGTAACGCCCCAAAACATACCCTAAAATTTATTAATTAATAATTAATAATTGAATCAAATTTGGTTTGATTAAAATAAATCCTTGTTGGGCTTTGGGTCAAAATAAAATGTGTTTGGAGCCAAATAAATCTTCTAGAGATAAACCCAAATCAAGGATAACCAGAGTACAAACCCAAATCAAGGATAAATGAAAAAACTGTTATGATATGAACTTTGAAATGATTTATTGAAATAAATCATGAGAATAATTAATATGAATTAAATGTGAGAACCTTTTTGAATAAAGATCAACTAAATCAATTTTGACTTTCTGCCAAAGTCAACCACCCAAAAATATGATGTCGGAAAAAGTATTACAAATAAATATAAAAGTTATATCGTTGGATAGAGTTTAACTTTCCGATCGAAACGATGCAAACGGATTTCAATTCAGAAAAAGGTGGAGAAAAAAGTGTACCCCGACTGGGGCCAAAATTAGTTCCAATCAAGGACGGCGCCTCCCCTTCCACTCAGCCTGTTAGAATAAGTGCCCTTCACTAGAGGGGGGTGAATAGTGATGCACGAGAATGTTTATAAATTTTCGTAGAATAAAAATCGCAGTGATAAAGTAGAGAGCGGAATAAAAAGGAGTAAAGGGAGCACACCAAGATTTATACTGGTTCACCACAGCGTGTGGCTAGTCCAGTCTCCCGAGAAACTCTATCGAGCTACACTACTTCCGTTAAGCTTACGGGATCTTAACAAACCGTTACAACTTGAGAACTCGAGTCCCACGAGCCTCAATACACTTGCTCGAAGATACCCCACTCCAAGACTTCAACCCGAAGGAAAATACCTTTCCTTCGTACAACCAATGGAAACAAGCTTCCCTAAACGTGTTTACAACACTAAGAACACTCAAGAACAAGACTCTCTTTAAGAGTAGATGTTGAGTAAACTATATACGTGTTGGGAAACGAGGCTTGGATAACGCAGCGGAAAACAAAAATTTATAGTCCAAAACTCGATTCCACCCAAGAACAACTTACGTAAATTACTAGCTATAGTAAGAAATTTACCTTAACGGTGAAAATGGAGAACGGAGGAACGGTCGGGGATGGTTTTGAGGAGATGAACGTAGCGCCAAACGTATGAAGCCTCCAACGTATCCACATGAACTTGCTCCGGAGTCCAAGATTAAACTTGTGCTAGCAAGTTTAATATAGGATAGTAATAACTATAATAATACTACTTTGGGAGTAATAAATATATAGTAAAATATTTATCTTATAAATATTTCTTTATAATATTTTGTGTATATTTCTAACACTTTAGAAAAATAACTTTGAACACAAAATAAAATTTTCTTCTCTCTAAAATGGGATGGCCGAAAATTGTGGTGTGTTTTTCAAAATCAAGACCTCATTTTATAATAAAGTATATTTAGGAAATTGCTAGGAAATTAATGTTAAGCATAAGTCCATGTATATGTCTTAACAC